ATTTTTCGTTATTACTTTTTTATTACTATTTTTACTGTTGTTAATTACACTAAAAATCAAGTTTTATTTATTTATATCTATTTATATCTATTTATATCTATTTCAAAAAATAAATCTGTCTTTAGAATTCCAAAATTTAAAAAAACATACCGAAAATGTCCACGAAAAAAAATAGCAAGGAATAAAATCATTATATAAACAATCTTAGAAATACAAACTGAAAAGCATTGCTTTTTGAATAAATTATAGAAAGCTTGTGAATTTTTAAACCAAATCTCGATTTTGAACTGAAAAACTTACATATATAACGGCCCAATCATTTAAACCACACATAAAAAAACACACATAAATTTATTTGCAACATAGAAGAATCTAAGAATCCGGCGTCTTGACAAAAACTGGAAATATTTTCGGTTTATGAAACAAGTAAAAAAAGAAATAGAATGCATTATATGTGCACAATCTCTGTCAAACCAGACAGAACAAATAAATAATTATATAGAAAGTTATTCTTCACAAGAATTAAAATCTTATAACGATTGGGTATTTAAATATGCAAGATAAGAAAAAGATATTGTTAAATGTATAATTTGTACCATACCACTCTGAACACTGATCCAAAAGACAGATCCAAAAGTTATCATTACTACATATCGATAAAATATAGAAGCGTGTTTGGCAGCATGTTATGTGGTTTAAGGGATTGTACGATTTTCGAGAATTTGTGCGTATCTTTGAACGCATCTATCTTGATATTTTGTATACGAGAAGCAGAAATTGTTAAGCGTGATTCACATTTTGTTGTTGGCAATAAAACAAATTGATCATATGCACTTTGGGGAGGTGAAGGTTCTTTGTAAAGCTTGCACCTTGACCTTGCCTTCATTTTTGATTGAATATATATGCTGAATTACACACGTATGAGTAGATAGAGAAATTTCATTTTTTTCTACACAAAACCAATATTTTCGTTGTCGGTAAAGTATGCAATCTGATATACATGCTTGTTTGAAATATTCAACAATGAAATTTGAAAACTATTATTCCAAATACATGCTTTTATGACTTTTTGGACTACGCAAACTCTTATGATGCACTGTTCAATAATGGTAGACTTATATCTTACTTATTCAACATATTTCAAAAATGTGTCGTTTGGATTCTATACTTTATCGATGAAACAACGTTAAAATAGCGCGATTAATCTCACGATTTTGATTATTTTACGGATAGCTCGGAATATTGAAAAAGTATTAATCCATTTGAAATCCATTGGTCGATTAATCAGGGCGCAAGTATGATGGCCGTGAAGGCTAGTATAGCTAACACTCTGTTGGGCCTGAAGAAGGCTGGAAGTACCAGTTGCTTGGCCCCACCGGCTTCCGGTATTGGTCTGGCATCTCGCAGTCTTCCCCCAAGTCCCTGTGCATCCCGCAAGGTAGAATAATAACACGCATTTGTACGGCCGAAGCGGAGAAGGATCGCATGCTCTCTATATTCATTTCTTCGGCTTAAAATAATTTTAAAGTGTTTCACGACACAATTAGAATTTTAATAATAAACAAGCATCGCAATCTTAACGAATGGAAGTTGTAAGAATTCAAGGCTGCAATACTGTAATTCAGACAATGTTAAACATAATTACATGTACATTGCTACTTTTTTAATAAAGAAAATATGTCGAAGCATATTTCGTTGTCAGCATTTTGCTTTTTCAAAATTATCTTCAACTTCACACGACTAAGAAACTGTTTGTAATGCGGAAATGAACGAAATACTCTTGATGCTATCGATATGAATGTGCGTATGAAACTCTTCATTCAGTTGCGGTTTTATTGGAGTGCAACAGACTTTCTCCGCTTCGCTTTTTTTCCACTACATTTTCTCAAACCGGAACGAGAGGAGAAAATATGCTCTTTGGAAGAGATTTTCGATATCTTCCGGTCCTCCGCTTAAACCATTCATTCGCTTCAGCCATTCTTTCATCCGTCATGCCTTACATTCATCAAGGTGTTCGTTAATTCGCACGCAAGAATGCAAGAGATAGAGTGATCGATGTCTGTGCATAGTGACGCTGAATGATAGAACTTGAGGCAACACTTCGGTCAAACATTAATTATTCCCATTAATTCCTTAGAAGTCGAACATCACGCATGATCTCTCAAAAATGTCTTGTGACAAATCGTTATCGATTGTCCAAAACTGCTGCAAGTTTTCTCATTCACGAGGATTTTCATCGATAAAGCGCTGCTCATCACTGATTGCATTGCACCTTAAACACTGGAGGCAAGCTTACACACGGACCATATAGATATAAGAGAAAACAAAACAAAACAAAAAAAATTATTGCGACTCATGCATAATCGGCTCGACCGCTTTGATCATGTCACACTTTTCGGCGTAACATCGAGCGAGGATTCCCTACACAGAGACCGCGTCGCATTAATCGATTTGATCGAATTGTTGAAACGTTTAGAGTTCATTGGCCGGAGGTCTGGGAATAAGTCCTGACCTCTTGGAGGGTGCTGAGCCAAGTGTTGCAGCTCCACTTGTAGCCGGTGACCTGGACGAGGGTCTCATGTCGAGGGCCAGGGACACCGGCAAGTTCCTGTACAAGTATTTAGAGCCGCAGGAGCGTGTCGACAAAATCAACACTATGGTACGCAGAAAATGGTTCTTTTCGTAATTTTATTAGCTTGTGTGATCATTAATTTCGGATTTCTTTTTGAATATATTCGTCTTTTATCGGGCAAAACGCGGCCCAATTAAGACGTGAATAAATATTCGTTTTTCGAAATTATTTATTACACAGCATAAAATAAAATATTCGATTTGTTTATCTTTATTCATGGACTGTTGAATTGAAGAATCGGGATTAAAAGATTCAAAAGCTTGAAATCTTAGATCTCTCAAACGAGTGTATCTTTCGTAGATGACCAAATTGAAGAACGCGCTGGACGCCGAAACTACCTCAAGATTAGAGTTATCCCACAATGGAGACGCGGATAGCATGAAGTTGATCGCGCAAAGTGACCTACGAGTGCAGGCGCTAAGCGTGTTGCTTCTGCACTATTGCGCCGGCTTGCAGCATGCACAAGAGGCATTGGATCGACCAGCAACCAACAAGGAATCTTAACGCGATAAACAGCAGCTTTAAAAGGATGTCGCAGTATCTCACTCTATCCTGAGAAATGCGAAAAACACGGAAAATGTAATAATGTTGACAATGGAATAATAATGAATCGCTTTCGTCATTTCTTTTGTAACGAGCCGCGAGTAGTCGACGATGTTACATTGATCTTATGATATTGACGCCATTTTTAATATTATATTGTAATATTATTATGATGTTGTACGTAACACTGCACGGAGATATTTATATTATTGTGCACAGAAATAGGGAACAAGTATTGGACGTTATTTATGGTTGCATTCCATTGAACACCAGAAACATTTATAATTGTATTCTATATGTGTGTCAATTTTTATTCACTTTTGCTATTTATTGTATAATATTTTTGGAAAACACATTGTATAGCATTATTATAACGGTACATTTTCCAAAATTTAGCGTTAATGTAATATTGTATACATCACATATATATTTTAACACTACAATATAACAGGTGACTTTAAATATTGCGCCATAACTGTTCCAAAGTGTATACTACATTAGTCAATTGATCGAATTTTAAACACTATTTACGTGGGTGTCAATAAGGTAAAATAGGTCAAATATAATTATTAATTTATATATATTCGAATTTCAATCTTGTAATGATCAATCTTCGACAAAGAAATGAAGTTCAACAAGTGTGTTTTTCACTCAAGATCCAAAAAGAAAAGCTTCGTATTATTTTCTCATTAAATTTATAGAATTTAATGTTAACAATCCGTTTTATACGTAGCTTTTGCGCTTTGCAGGATTAACCGAAATTCTGTACGTGTTACGAGACAAGCGTAACACAATTTCACATACGTAAGCTAATATAGTATAGAAATATAGTGATTTTATCAACTTTACTTTCAAAAGTTTATGAATTTTCGTATTGCAATTTGCATTGTGTAGCTAAATAATACTCAAAGAGCGTTGTCACACGCTGGGATATTATTGTTCACCAAGACGGAACACCAAATTTGTTGAGGTATTGTTCTAGTATTACTACATTATTATAATAATATAATTACAAAATGTATGTATATTCACGTAAAAGGAACTGCGTGTATACTCACAAGAGGATGCTTTAATTTGCGAAAGGATGCGCTACGAGTAAAGCTTTCCGTGAAAACAGTGCGATTCCTTAAATACAAATGCATTTTATGTAATGACAATTTTGTGCGATATATATTGCATTCGCAAATGTGATATGTGAAAAACACATTATTATAAAACTTAAACGAGACCATTTATAAATTGAAACGATGATTCTATCGCGATCGTAAAACAATCTGTACTGAGCGATCGATGTACAATTGTGCAAATTATGCCAAAACCTATGTGATAAGAGAACGCCCGCGTTTTTGGCGACACATTCTAGTTTTTTTTTTTTATAAATTGTTTTTTTGTTTTATATTTATGTCTTTATTTAATTCTTTCAATACGAGTTTCAAAATTCGGTAAATTTTAAATGTATTATATCAATTGTTTTTTTGTTATATAGTTATAAATATTTTAAAAAAATTCTTTTGAATAACTTAAACTGATAAATCCGAATTGACGATTAAAAGAAAGTTGAATAGATTTTGATACCTCTGTGTTATCTTTATATTTTAAATTATATCACATTTTAATTTATTATATTTATTTATTAAATAACTTGCTTTCACACAGATTGGAATTGCGCGAAGAAAATGAGAAACACAATTACCGCTACTCGACATTTCCCGGCGTTTCGCTTAACAATCGCAGATGGTGCCAAATAACAATTCAGAACATATCCACTGGAACAACTATTACTGAGTGATATTAAACTATACGTTCGCACGTTAGAAGAGTGAAAAGGTATGTTTACGGTATTGAAAAAGCTGGGCATGAAAATATTAATGTTATATTTAGCGTTAAACATGGCTGTCCCGACTTTCTGGCCTCTATTTATCTTAAGATGCATTCGATTTGATTCCGATAGCGGTCGGATGGCCGCGTGTAACGCTAAATACGCGACGTGTGTGTGTGAGTATAGACTTTTGACTGTTAAACCTATAATCAAAGAATTTTACCGCTTTGGCCTAAACCGGCAATGTTGACGACGACCAGAAGAAATCACACGAATTCTGACTGATTCCTTAATCGTTCACAGTGCATTTAATAGACATACGAAACAGCTTCGTATTAGCGAAATCCATCCAATAAGCATTTTTGTGTGGCCGTAAGTTAAGATGTTACGCGTCTCGCGATATTGCAAACTGATGTATTGTCGCTCGTTGTTACTATATATAAAGTGAATATAGATTGTTAAACGAATATCTCACACCGTTTACAATGCGCCTTAGCATGTACCTTCCATGTGCGGTCTGTCGGGTTGTCTGAAGATGCGGGTTTCGATCAGATCATCATTCTACCAACTTAATTGTGGATTAGTTTTTGATACTAGCAATATTTATTTGAAAATAGGCCTAGCGTGTATATCTTCTTATCAGCGCTGAATGTATACTTCTCGAACTTATTTATAAAACTGTATTGTATTCTCTGGAAGTTCTACAATACGCAAAAAAAAAAAAAAAAAAACAAGCGAACAAGTGCCGCAATAAAGCACTGTGAAATACAGTGACCGAAAAACCATTACACCAAGTCTCGTACGCTCAACATGCAAATACTTCACCGACCGCTCGTCGCAAACTGTGCGACTGCACTTCGTTCACGCGAGTTTTTTTTGTATCTTTATTTTTTCATTCGCACGTGCCGCGGAAGAGCCTGGCGTCGGTAGATGTTGCGGAGATACACAAAAGTCGCAATAAAAGTGCGTCGGATGGGCCACGTGTCGTGCTGCTCGCAACGGGGAAATTCCGCGATGAAAAATAGACGTTTGCGAAAATCGAGGTCGCGCTTGAGTTTTGCGCGTCATAAGCGCAAAACAACGTTGCCGTCACGTGTGCGTTCTTGCGGACGAACCCTTTCGCGATTAACTGAGCCTCACTTCTGCTCGTCACTTTTCCAAGAGGCCTTATTTTCATCGCGCGATGTCGAATAAAATGGGGGCGAATGAATTCGATTCCGAAGGATTTCGAGAAGATTTCATTCGTGAAATTGCGAGTTTGTAATTCAAACGTATAAACAAAAAAATATTGAAATAGATAAATGTGTAGGGGATGAAGGAGGTGTACGTGCTCGCCGACGTATTTTGTGACGTCGTCACCGCTCGCGTGGACGATTCTTGGTAAACGCGAAAACCGAAGACGCAGTAAGGAGAGAACGCGCGGCCGCGTGTACAAAGAACGGGACGGACGTCAGCGGCGACGATTCCGCAAGGCCAACGTTCGCTAGTTGGCAAGGGTGCGAGCCAAGGTGTCCTTCTCCGGCGCGTCTCTCCCGCCGTTCTTCTTCGACGAAGAGCAAGCACGGGAACGGAAGTCGGCTAGCGCAGAAACTGCGGAGGCGTCCGTTTCTTTTTGCATGTGCCGATTATTTGTCACGTTTTAACACACATATATATATATACGAAAAATAAAATTGAACGCGATAGATGAACAGCTTGTACTGAATGCATATCGCACAAAACTGATTTGAAATGTCTATAGAGAAAAATTTTACATTTTCGAGGATCAAGAGACAAAGGAATGTGGAAATTACAGGATATCGGAAGAACTTGGGTGCGGAGCTTAGCGTATCATCGGGAGTGTCGCATCGACACTGGCTGCCGCGCAGATCTTCGTATTCCCGAATCCTCCGATCTTTATTATTGCACGCCCTACGTCGTGCGAGGAGACGAAAACGACGAAAGAGAAGAAGTCATGGGGGATTTTGGCCCGTGACTATCTATTTTTGTCAGCGAAATGCACGCGCAGTATCCTCTGGCCGCGGGCCAAACATACCGCGGAATCGTATAAACATTTTATCCCTGTTGAGCATTGAGCTTCACAATGAATGGAGAGCAAAGTCCTCTAACGCGGAAAAAAAAGAATTGCTCGAGTAGGCTTGCAGACGTGAAATCCGTTTTCGCAAACGTATCTTCATTTCTTTTTATTTTATTTATTAAAAAAAACTTAAATAGAATTTCAGTGGCAAATAAAAATATACTTAAATCAGAATTAGATAAGAGAAAAATCAAAAGTAGCAATCGATCAACAAGTGAAAGACTCGATTTTTAGATATTTTTCTCTCTTGACGATATTTTGATAATAATTGAAAGTAATAATCGAAAATAATTGAGATAATTGAAAAGTATCTTGAGTTAAAGATCAATATTATTACCTATTCATTTGCGAGATTAAACACATATTAAGAGTTAATAAGATCACAAATGTTTAGCGTTGCACGGAGCATTTTAATTGATTATGCGCTGTTAATTACAATACATTTTAAATTCCTACTATTATCATTCAATGATCGAACGTCTGAAAACTTTTGGCATTATCGTTTTCTAAAAATCTTTGCCGTCCGCATGAATTTACGCGAAATGGTGCAACAACAAAGCGCGGAAATTTACGCGAAAGACATTTAAAAGCGGTTGATTTCTCGCTTCTTTGCGATCTTGGCCAAATTAAACGCGTCTGCGCCTTCGAGTCGCTTTGTGTCGTGAGACGCAGTTCTACGTTTGGCAATTACTCCAGACACTCGCGCGATAATTCGCTATTAGGGCGTTACACTGATGCGTATCTCACGATTTCTCAAACATTATCTCGAAACGCGCGTAATAAACTAGCAAACAGCACGTGGAAAGCAGTAAACACTTATTGCGTGTTAGTCTGCGAGTCGGTTTAAGAAGTTTTGCAGAGTTTTAACACCGATGGCAACAGTTGTGATCAAAAACTTGCTTATGTTAATTTTTATGAAAACTACACTGTTTTATAAGAATTTTATTAATCCGCTGTGTGTTTTAGGCAGCGCGGATAACGAAATCCGAAATAGCGCAGCGGGCAGTGGGTTTGCCGATGCAGCGCAATTTATGCGATTTGCACGCCAGTATCATCGACCTTTATTTCTGCGTCAGTTTTGAATGAACGAATTTCGTGAAGGCGCATGGAAAAACCGGATGCGTCTGTTCTGCATGTATAAATGTATGCATTTCTCTGAATTTCTCAAACTGCTCTAAGCCAAAATCTTTTTTGGATGTCTTTCTTCACATTCTGAAGACAATTGCGCGTGTTGTATATGTATCGTAATTCGAAATGTTTCATATCCGAATGGTATTTAATACTTTTCCACTTCATAATAATATTTCAATTAAATATAATTTTCATAGCGTCAAGAAATATCTTTGGCGATGTCTTCGATAACACAAAAGATTGGCTTCTGGAAAAAGTAATAAAATGATTCACGCCTATTCCGTCTGCGAAACTCGTTCGTGCGAGAAAACTGTACAGTCGAAAAGTTTGATGCGCGTCAGAGCTGACGTTGCGATTGAAAAAGATCCTGAAGAAACCCTGAGTGAACAATAGGAAGGCCTTGATGAGAGAGCGAACGCGGGTTCTAACGCGGAAATCCCGACGTTGAATTTGACAGCTTGCGCGTCGCGCGGTGTATCTGGCTGCGTTTGTTTTCAAACAAAGAGAGGGAGAGTGAGTACACATAAAGTGGAGTCAGCTGATCGGGACGCTTCCCCGTTGGCGGGGGAATTGACGAGGGCTTAAATAGCATCGCGTGCATTGGTGCCGACTAGTACCGGTTAGTAAGTCACTTGAGGCGAGTCTTGGCTGCGCCGTGATAGCACAGAGGACTCGTGAAGTCCTTGCGAAGCCCGGAGGAAGTCAGCCGGACTTGCAACCCGCTGAAGTTCGCTCGCAAAGATTTTTTCGAGAGTGCAAGTGGACTTCGAGATCCTGGAAACGCTCGCTTGGTGAAGGAATCGAAAATCTGCGTCTCTTCGAAGTTGGACGATCCTTCGAGAAGCTCTTTGATCTTAGTTGAAAGCAGTTTTTTGCGGGGGAAGATATCGAAATCTGTGAGCATCTTCATCCTAAATTGAGTTCTTCAAGCACGCCACACTCTCTGCACTTTGATCTTGGCGTTTTTTCTATTTTTCGTACGTGGATTATTTCTCTGTAGGATCTGCGACAGTGACGGAGTTAACGTCGAGTGTTAAATTCGGCAAAAAGATAACAGTCATTCAATCGAAGCTTGTAAAATGTATTCCTAGCGATTAGTAGAAATCGAGGAAGAGATCGCAATAGAATTACTGCATGAATAGTTGTTTCTCGACAATTGTGCGCAGAGAGCGGTGCTGATTTTTACACGATATACTCAACAGATCTGTATTCGCACGCTTCTTGCGCAAATCGTGAACTCTTCGTAAGGAAGAAGCGATCGTCATGAGGCCGCCGTACAATGAAGAAGAGGTGCAGCAGATCTCGCAGGAGCAAGGCGAGAGAAACGTTGCGATGGCGGTTTGCGTGCAATTAGCTGGCCGAGCAATCATCAGAGTGGTTTCGCGGTGCGAAGAAGCCCAGGATAACTGCAATCTAGGTAAGCCTTGAAGGACATTTAAACGACGTTTCAACTTGTAGTATTTGTAGACATTAAAAAAAATATTTAAATCTTTGAAACTTCTTCTTTAATATCTGAAAAACAATTTTAAAAATTTATTTAATATTTCAAAAGTTTTTTAAAGGACATCCTAAACTCAAAGCGCCTCTTTATTTTCTTAATACGAGTTTTAACGACGCATCACGTATCTTTAAATACACAGATATTTTTGATATTAAAAATTTAATTGCAATATTGCTTGATTGATACTTCATTAAAGTCGTCCGAAAAGAGTGGTTAATTATAATTATTCTACGAGGAAACCAAGCTAGAAAATGCCATATATGCGTACACCAACATCAACGGTACTTCCTGATTCGAGATGACTTTTATCCTTGCCTTATCTGTAACACTGTGCGCATGTACTGCGACCTTGATCAGTACCGTTTTTACTGTTTTTTAATTCGTTGATACTTGCGGCTTGTCACCTTCCATGAAACACGCACTCCACAATCATGCATAAACTGTATTTTAATTATTATAAGTATTAAAGATATAAGAGCGTCAAAGATTAATGTAAACCGCAACATTTTTCTTTTCGAGGTCTTTCACGGATAAAAATCTCGCATCAAATAAATATTCATAAAAATTTATATTCGTAAAAGACACGTGTAAATATCAGTTACAGCTTTGTGGAAATTAGAATGTGTGTGACTCAAATGTGGATTGAAACCGAGAAAACTATTAAAGGACCAAAAATTATGGCAAAAATCGACGATATTTATAGCATATAGTCCAAGAATTTTTTAAATTTAAATTCGCATGATATTAAGTATAAGATCTGCGGCAGTGTAAAATCAAGAAGATATATTATCAAAAGCAACGAAAAATCTGGCTATTGATAATTCTGATATTTATGCAAAAAAATTTTGTATAGCGTTAAAATATGTAAAAGCTCTATAGATTCCAAAAACTGGAAACGTAATTTCTATATCACAAAAATCGCAGATTTATGATACAAATCAATTGTCAAATTGCGTCATTAGCGAAGATTGCAGATACTAAGCCACAACAATGCGTTTCTGTCTATTCTCATCGCATCAACCTTTATCTTATCTTATTAACGCGATATCGATGACTCAGTTTGTTTCATACGGCTAACGAACTCTTTCTCTCTCTTTCTCTCTCTCTCTCTCTCTCTCT